AAAACAATCGTTACCCGCACCTACTATTGTAAACATTAGAACTGTTTCAAATCTAAATAGTGTAATCTCTTCTAAAACATGTCCTAAGAACTAGAAGCGACGATTTGTAACCTCGTTTCATTGGCATACTACTAACTCAAGAACTGTTTCAAACCTCAAGGCTGATCTCGTTCATAACTAAAATCCTCAGCCTAACCCACAGAAAATGTCGAAGTAAACTCAATATATAAATACTTCCTCCTCTTTTATAGAAGAATACATATGGCCGTTCTGAACTCTATCGGGATCAAATCTTCTCACATACCATTTACCTTTACAACAAGAAATTTGATTGGCTGTTTATAGTAGATCCAATCTGATTGGTTTGACATACATACATCTCTCACTCACTCACTCATCCATTGACCCATCCATAACATACCCGATGTGCCGACTAAGAGGTATTTTTTTTACAAAAAAATAACTCAAAAAGGGTTGTAGATTTCTGATCAGAAGTTGATACAGCACCCATACAGCGCCATGGTGGCGCCTCCCCGGAAAGAGCGTTGCGTGACGACATTAAAGACGGACCATTAGAAAAGTGATTGGGGGGAAGCAAAAAAAAATTCATGCAAGGGAGGGTGACTAAAACAAAATTGTGCAAAGGAGAAATGACGAAAAACAAAATTCCTGCAGAGCGAATTGCACTCTCAAGCTTACAAATTGTACTCGCCTGAAGGGCACCTTGGCAGCCAGTTTTTACCGTAGTTTTAATGTTTGGATCCTTTAATCCCCATTCACCTGGTTTTCTGTACAATTAGGAAAACGGACATTTTTCACTTTCAAGACTGATACATTTTGTGTGGAGCAACCTCATCATGGACACTGCTAGCCAAACATCCTTGCAGAAAAACCCTTATGGATAACCATGGCCTTAAAGTGATAAACAAAAACACACGTGCTATAAACAGCTATCCTGCTTGATTCGTTTTGAATTAAGGAAGCACATGCCGTGTTTTAAAAGCCTCAACATATATAGGAGTGATTTCGCAACTGACATGTATAAATGACGATTGTGGACACACATGTGCACACCCATGGCGAACCGTAACACTTCCCTAAGATGGCTGCTAAGATCAACGTTGGATAAACGTCATAAAAGACAATCATGGAGGTGTTTAATAACACAACTGATGCGTTTAGTATGGGCTGTTTCCATCTATTTTAGCTTTTTGACAGAGTAAACGACGCATTATCATTCAAGTCCGTGGAAAACGCACCAAAAACGTTTCAATTGTGCAAAATTTTCTAGGGGGGACCCCCTAGCAGAAAAGGCCCTTTGGCCCCATATCATGGTTACTGGATGGCTATTCACAGAAATCTAGCTAAAACCTTCATTCACTGCATGCCAAGAATAAATTTTATTAACATGGGAAGGAATAAATAAAATTGTTATTTCCCTAGACATCAAACAAAAAATGCAACGCAGCCCCATCAGTTGGGTAATAGCCACTTACAAATGTGTCTGATACTTGGTTATGTTTCCTCCTGAGTATAATTTTGACAGTAAAACAAAACGACTGTGTGAAAGATAGAAAATATTTGTCTGAAGCCTGTTTCAGGCAATCAGATTGTGGCGAGTGAAGATTAAGATTGCGACAGTAGACTATCCACCCCACCTCCCCCCCCCAAAAAAAATGACTGCAGGAGACCTGACCCCCTCCCCCCAAAAAAATTCTTCAAAGGCAATGGACGTGGAAAAAAATTCCTGCAACCTGAAAATGTCCCACCCGCCATCACTTTTCTAATGGTTCGTCCCTTATTAAAGTGTAGTGTGACGGCATTGTATTTTATTTCCTATTTTCGGACCGCTTTTCCCTTTTGCAGAATTCTGTTTTTCAGTTTATCTTTAATTCGTATTGCCACTTAATCCCTTCCAGTTTACACTTTCAGTGACCAGCGTGTGAATTTTAAAACAAATGATGTTATTGTTAGCCGGCGGGCGAAAAAAGAGGAACTTCTGTCGCCGTTAAAGATGGCATCCAAACGTTTTGATTTAGGACCATTTAGGTTAGGTCCATCTACTTAGTATTCAGTTTAACGAGCTGAGATTCCCACAACAAAAACGAAACACTAAAGAAAGAATAAACGGATAAACAATCACAACTGGGGTGATCACATCATTTGTATTTCCGCAGTTACCACCATTCATTCTAAACGGAAGTTAACACAGTATTCTACAGTAGACGAAGGTGATTAGCACTGTGCATTTAATGACGACTCCTCTGTGCCCTGTGATACCTCATTACAATTTGCGTCAGACATTATTACAATTTGCTTACACTTATAAATATTACAAAATGCTGCAGCCCTTATTACAAAATGCGTAGGTTGGATTTATTAAAAAATGCTGCACACTTTGTTACACAATGCGCACATTATTACAAAATGCTGCAATCGTTATTACAAAATGCGTCGTTGTTACAAAATGCCACAGAATAGTGTTGAACAATATTCTGAACTTTGTAAATGTTTGAAAACGTGAGAAGATCTCTCTGACTACAAGTGCTCATGGATGCAGGTTGATAAATGCTGGGTTGGCTCGTTTCACAAGTGTAACAAGCTTTACAACTTACACAGGAAAATTTATACACAATGCGCATACGGAGCCTATCAAGAAAAGGATCTTACTTTTAAAGGTAAACAAGACTGCTTTGATGTCAATAGGTTTCCAAAACTTACTGACAAGTTTGCGCACCCTATGCTGCGCTATACTTGAGAACGGGCTAATGCAAGGGATCTTAAAATAAAATTGCCGTGATTCTTGTGGCTCGACACCTGCTGTGGGTTGTGCACCGTATCCTTCTACCATCTTGGGAATATAGGGGTGGATTAAGCTATTCAAGAGATGTTCAGGATAGAGATTGTTGCAGAAAATTACAAACAATTTCAACTTGAAAACTCAACCATGTGTTGTTTATCTTAATTTTTTTTTCTTTCAATAAGGGTTTTGACCAGCCCTACTGTGTGACAAAAAGGTTAGCACACCCGTGAAGGTCTCTATGCCATGTGTTCTGGTGACAGGGAAATGTGGGACATTGAGAAAGGGTAGAACGTGGTTAACTTCCTTCTCCATAGTGAAATAAAATGTTGGGGTGTTAACCTATGTAGGTTCCTACAGAAGCAACAATAAGACCAAAAGAAGGTATAGCAACTTATCAATCAATTTTGCAAACTTGTTGACATAAAGGATGAGTATGAACGTGGCGATCTCCTGAACTCAGTGGAGGGTGAGAAAGAAAAGGCGTCCAGCATCTAAAAAATCCATGAATAGATAACATAGCCAGTAAATAAGTTATCATTCCATACATTTTTGTGTGGGATTTCCCACACTTTGTCAACGCCAGCGATATTTATTTATTTGTCCACGAGAGTAAAGCGTTTGTCACGTGGTTTCTACTTGCCGTGTAGACTGGGTTCCACTAGCAAAAGGTTGAGTGTTTTTGTGCGGCAGCCATTAGTGTGATTACTCTTACCGGGTGTTGTTTTTTGAGATTCGGAAGGAGTCTTTGGCCTTAGGTCTTAGTGTTTTTCAGACACTCGCTGCCGTATTTATTTTTGACGCGCCATTTATTATAAGGTGGGTAAACATTCGCTCTCTGTATATGCGCGAAATTCTTGGATGAATAAGGAGCAATCAGTCAATCATACAAAGTTCCAGTTCTCGGGCAGAACTTTCTGCAATTACATATTTAAATTATGTCACATTCGATCAGCTGGAAATCCCGACAATTTCTGCGGAAAATGAAATTCTAGTAAACATTGTGCATGACGCGCCATGTAGTCTGCAACTGTTGAAGAAAATTTACACTTGATTGATTTCATTACTTTCAACTCCCGTCTATTGCTAAAATCAGCATTTTTATATCAACAACCGAAGTTTTACGGACAGATATAACATAATGACAAAGCCCAGTATTTTCCAGTGTATTTATGGTTAGCAAGTTGAGGTCCTCTCGACTGATAAACCATGATTCTTGATACGTTGTGTGACGGTGCAGTTTCCGTAGATTCACAAGTTTAAAAGGACTAAATATTTGCATTTGCCTTCAAACTTCACACTAAACATTTTCACATTTACTGGTCATATTTAAACACAAAAGCTAATTTCTAAAAGTATAATTTACATACAGTTTTCTCAGCTGGAAGCACGAATATGATATTAGCTAATATTTGCAATCGGAGCTGATTTATCGTAAACAAACTCCGTGCAACCAGCGACCGATTCTAATATTTCCGCTGATGAATAAAAGCACACAACATTTCTATTGCCGGTCCTTGCTTCAGGCTTCCTCTTATGGCTTTAGAGTACTTTTTCGAACAATTTCGACTGGATACAGACTGAACTTTTCATGAGGGGGTAGGAGCGTCTGCGTAAGAGCTGAGGCTAACTGAACTTTTTGTCTCAACTGGAACTAATCAATAAATCCCAGGACAAATGGAGCCAGTGAAATAAAGCTGTTCCCACAGTAAACATCCCCAAGCCAACGCGATTCAAAAGCTGTGTTCGTGAACATTAATTGTTCCAGTTATGTAGCACGTCATCTGGCATCCCAACGAA